GCTGCTCTCCCACAAATATAGTGTGGGTGGCAGGTCACACCTAGAAACCCCTTCCCGCCTCCCCTTCTTTCCTGAAACGTAAAGCCAAAACTCTGCCCTGGACTTCTCTGTACAGAGAAAGTACTGAGCTTAGGGTCTCTGCACAGGTAAAAATGCTCTCCAATAGAGGAGGGCTCCATCCCAGTGTCAGCACTGTGGTTTGAGGCTGAAACACCCACTAATAAGGTATGTTTCTCAAAGTCATATGTGTGTGTGTGTGTGTGTGTGTGTGTGTATACACATGCCTATTTTTTTCCCACAAAAGGCAATGGTATTCTGGGATTCATTTATAAATGGCCCCTGGCTAAAAAGTCATTGCATCTTAATATCAATGGAAATCTAATTTGCTTTTACCATGTAGAAATTTATTATCAACAAAAGGCCAAAAAATAAGGTCAAAGACCAAGGAAATTAAGAACTAAACAAAAGAAGGGCAGTAATTCACACCACAGCGTAGAACATTAGCCATGCTAGTCACACTGTGACAACCACTTCAAGGCTAATGAGTGCTAAACACAACAGAGGCCATTTACAACCCAGGCGTGCTGCCGGCTGTCCTTCCTTTTAGAAAGAGTGAGCACTGGAGTTTCTTGGACTATTTCCTGAGCACCTTCTAAATGTCTGGCAATGTGTGCATGTTTGGATATTTGCAGATTACCTCTCTTCACAAGGGACAGAAAACCTGACAGGAGTTTACTGCCTTCTACAAGCTAACAGTCCACAGGCTTCAGGCTTTATCAGGGTCCTCTCAGGCTCCCCTGCATTCGTATTGATCCTTACTTATCTCTTTAGCATGTCATACTATCTCAAGCCAGGAGCAGGATGACTTCTATACCAGAGGTACATACAACCATCGCCTCTGGTGACAGGGAAGAAATTCCTTTTACAAAAGTACCAAACACATCTCAACTCAACCAAACTGATTCAAATGTCCATTCCTGAACCAGCAGCCACGGAATGTGTATAAGGGATGTCCTCAGCATTGTAGGCCAGGAGCTAGAGGTATGGCCACCGTCCTCTGAAGGTCATGAGCTATGTTGGAATATGATAGCAATATCTGAATAAAAATAGGAAAAAAAGTTCTGACAATTAAGTACTTTTCACCAAAATTGCTTTTACATATTTACATACGTTTGTGTATAGTGTGTGTGTTCCTGCACATATATATATATGCATGTGTATGATGTGTGCATATCAAATGTAAGCAATGGAGACAGCCAAGATGCCCCACTACTGATGAATGGATTAAGAAAATGTGGTATTTCTACACAATGGAATTGTATTCAGCCACAAACAAGAATGAAATTTTATCATCTGCAGGTAAATGGATGGAACTCGAGAACATCATCTTATGTTATCCAGGTTCAGAAGGCAAAAAGCTGCATGTTTTCTCTCAATGGTGGAATATAGAACTAATACAAATGTAGCAATATTATTAAGAATAAGTCACACTAAGGAGAGGTCACATATGACAAGGGGAGGGTAAAAGGAGGAAGTTAGGAAGGTGGAGATGGTTGATGTACTCTTTATACAAGAACAAATACAGAATTTTTAAACCTGTTGAAGTCACCATAAGAAGGGGACTAAGGTAGAAAGAAGAAAAATAGAGGAGATGAACCAATTCGGGTTACAATACATATATACATGAAAATGTCACAAGGAAACTCCCTGTGTAGCTATCTTAAGCAAACAAAAATGTCATTTTTTTCCTTTTCATTTACAAAATTCGAGAACAAGAGGGCAAAACAGGTCCTGCCTGAGGGGCTAGTATCAGTGGAAGGGTGGAGGAGGTAAGGAAAGGGTGTAGGAGGGTAAATATGGTGCAAATACTGTGTACACCTGGGTGTAAATGGAAAAATGACACCTGTTGAAACTATTCCAGGAACAGAAAAAGAGGGGATGGAAAAAGGACAATGTTGGAGAGGGGAAATTCAAGTATGATATACATGTTATATTGCAAGAACTTTTGTAAATGACACAATGTACTCCAAACACAACAATAAAAAAATGTACATACACACATGTAACTGTGGACGTATGTGCTATATATGCACGATATGTGCAAGTTCATATGTGTAACCTAACTGAAAGTCATCTGATCTAAATGAGAAGAACAGGGACATGTAAAGGATGCAGAGCTCTAAGTGGTACATGCTTAAATAACACATCAGGAAACAAAGCAACAAAGTTGCCTGCAAGTTTTGACTGCAGACATCCTTAGATAAAATGGTCAAGGAAAACCAAGGTAGAGAAGGACAGAAAGTGAAACAGAGAAATGAGAAGAAAAATGAAGATACTTTATTATGTCACAGAAACAGAGATGTTCAGTGTGTCCCCCTATATATTTTGCAATTTTATCCTAAATGCATGAGTAATAAGACAATTTGAAACAGGATCCTTGAAGAGCACTTGGAATACCAGCAAATTACTTATCTATTTCCTAAAATTCATTAAAGCGAAAATGAGTGCTACTTATAACACATCAGATCATATAAAAACTAGACTGAATTTCTGAGCAAAAATATATTATTATATTCAAAGGTATCTGAATAAAATATCATACCTTATGTAAAAGTTTTCCCCCTTGAAATGCTTTTCTTAATTTTACTTATAAGACATACACCATTTTATGATACAGAATTTCTTTTTTTTTTTTTCATTTTTCTTTTATTATTCATATGTGCATACAAGGCTTGGTTCATTTCTCCCCCCTGCCTCCACCCCCTCCCTTACCACCCACTCCGCCCCCTCCCTCTCCCCCCCCAATACCCAGCAGAAACTATTTTGCCCTTATTTCTAATTTTGTTGTAGAGAGAGTATAAGCAATAATAGGAAGGAACAAGGGTTTTTGCTGGTTGAGATAAGGATAGCTATACAGGGCATTGACTCACATTGATTTCCTGTGCGTGGGTGTTACCTTCTAGGTTAATTCTTTTTGATCTAACCTTTTCTCTAGTTCCTGTCCCCTTTTCCTATTGGCCTCAGTTGCTTTAAGGTATCTGCTTTAGTTTCTCTGCGTTAAGGGCAACAAATGCTAGCTAGTTTTTTAGGTGTCTTACCTATCCTCACCCCTCCCTTGTGTGCTCTCGCTTTTATCATGTGCTCATAGTCCAATCCCCTTGTTGTGTTTGCCCTTGATCTAATGTCCACATATGAGGGAGAACATACGATTTTTGGTTTTTTGGGCCAGGCTAACCTCACTCAGAATGATGTTCTCCAATTCCATCCATTTATCAGCAAATGATAACATTTCGTTCTTCTTCATGGCTGCATAGAATTCCATTGTGTATAGATACCACATTTTCTTAATCCATTCGTCAGTGGTGGGGCATCTTGGCTGTTTCCATAACTTGGCTATTGTGAATAGTGCCGCAATAAACATGGGTGTGCAGGTGCCTCTGGAGTAACAGTCTTTTGGGTATATCCCCAAAAGTGGTATTGCTGGATCAAATGGTAGATCGATGTCCAGCTTTTTAAGTAGCCTCCAAATTTTTTTCCAGAGTGGTTGTACTAGTCTACATTCCCACCAACAGTGTAAGAGGGTTCCTTTTTCCCCGCATCCTCGCCAACACCTGTTGTTGGTGGTGTTGCTGATGATGGCTATTCTAACAGGGGTGAGGTGGAATCTTAGCGTGGTATTAATTTGCATTTCCTTTATTGCTAGAGATGGTGAGCATTTTTTCATGTGTTTTCTGGCCATTTGAATTTCTTCTTTTGAGAAAGTTCTGTTTAGTTCACTTGCCCATTTCTTTATTGGTTCATTAGTTTTGGGAGAATTTAGTTTTTTAAGTTCCCTGTATATTCTGGTTATCAGTCCTTTGTCTGATGTATAGTTGGCAAATATTTTCTCCCACTCTGTGGGTGTTCTCTTCAGTTTAGAGACCATTTCTTTTGATGAACAGAAGCTTTTTAGTTTTATGAGGTCCCATTTATCTATGCTATCTCTTAGTTGCTGTGCTGCTGGGGTTTCATTGAGAAAGTTCTTACCTATTACCTACTAACTCCAGAGTATTTCCTACTCTTTCCTGTATCAACTTTAGAGTTTGGGGTCTGATATTAAGATCCTTGATCCATTTTGAGTTAATCTTGGTATAGGGTGATATACATGGATCTAGTTTCAGTTTTTTGCTGACTGCTAAACAGTTTTCCCAGCAGTTTTTGTTGAAAAGGCTGCTTTTTCTCCATCGTATATTTTTAGCTCCTTTGTCAAAGATAAGTTGCTTATAGTTGTGTGGCTTCATATCTGGATCCTCTTATTCTGTTCCACTGGTCTTCATGTCTGTTTTTGTGCCAGTACCATGCTGTTTTTATTGTTATTGCTTTGTAATATAGTTTGAAGTCAGGTATTGTGATACCTCCTGCATTGTTCTTTTGACTGAGTATTGCCTTGGCTATTCGTGGCCTCTTGTGTTTCCATATAAATTTAACAGTAGATTTTTCAATCTCTTTAATGAATGTCATTGGAATTTTGATGGGTATTGCATTAAACATGTAGATTACTTTGGGGAGTATATGATACAGAATTTCAAAACAGCATCTATGGTTTAAGCCAGCGGTCAGCAAGCTATGGTTCATGACTTGTTTTGTAAATAATGCTTTATTGGAACACTTTCACATGGATTCATTTGTTATTGCTCGCCACACTGTCTTATGCTGTACTTGGAAAGCACTGGCTTACTTACTGCCTACCACCACCTTAACACTTCAACAGCAGAGCTGAGATGACATGATAAACTAAATGGCCCACAAAGCCTAAACTTACTGACTATGCAGCCCTTTACAGAAAGTTCACTGGCCTCTGCTTTCAGTGATAATAACTGTCTTTTAAAATTAAGTTCCTGAAATTTTTCATAATAAAATGCTGTAAAAACTTAATTTTATTTTGAATAGCTGCGGGTTTGATGATAGTTTACAATGAGAATGGATTAAATAAAATGAAGTGATAATGAAAGAATACTCACAATCTTTCAAGGAGACTTAATCCAGAAAATGAACCATTCTTCAGCTCCGATATTTTATTGTTACTCAGAATCCTAAAAATGACAAGAAAAAAATATAAGTTGTCTAGTATACACCATCAATATAAAAGTAATTTAGCTCATTATATTTAAACCTATGAGGAATTTACAGAAATCATTTTTGAGATGGTTAAGAGAAAGGAGATTTTCATCCCCAAAATAACTCATACATCTTGTCACAACTTAAATCATTCCTGTCACACTTAGCCAAAAACTTACAAATAAAAAGGAAGAAGAGTCGACATGTAACAGCTAGAAGTTCAATATATGGATAAAAGATGGTATGTACATTTCCATAATCCATCAACATATATAAGTTCAATATTTACTTTAAAACTAGAAACATAATAGAAAAACACATGTGATCCATAAAACACTGACCTTACAAAGAATCAAAGTATCTTCTATATATTTCAATAATGCTGATATTATTTATAATTTAACCACATAAAAATCTACTGTCTATGACTATGAAAACACACTGCTTGTCAGCACCCAGACATCAGTGGTTTTATCCTAATATTGTATCTTCTGTATTAGGAAGACGTTTATTAGAAAATGAATTGAAAACAAAAATTCATTCTAAAAAGTTATTCAGGCCTATGCCCCTGGCAGGACTTTCCCAAGAAGAAACTACCTGTACGTCATCTTGCTTCCTCTCTAGGCTCAAGAGCTTTATGTAGTTTTTGAGCCCAAGTATCAGTAAGGAATTTACAGAAACAAGGTGAAAATGCTAAAACCACCTAATTTCGGGGAGCGGAGATATAAAGGTGAGGAAAATGACAAATCCAAGGCAAGAGCTAAGAAAATGGCAAAGGGCAGTACATGGGAGAGCCAAACGCTGAACCCAAGCCATTTTTCCTCGCATCCCATGTTCATTCAGCATGCACCAGTCACACAACTGGTCACTTTTCAGGAGCAGCCATCACAACCAATACAACAAGCAGCAATTCTGTGCAAACACAAAAACTAACATACGTCTGCAACATCAGCTTTTGGGTATTCACTTTAATTTTGTCTTCAAAAAAGGCTTTTGGGGCTAGGGATGTAGCTCAGTGACAGAGCACTTGCCCAGATGTTCTAGGTCCTAGGTTCAATACTCATCACCACAAACAAACAAAAAACCCTGGATGTTCTTTTGTATTAAAAAAAAGAAAAAAGATCAGTTGACATTTCTTTGATATAGGTGGGATTTTCAAAACTATTCCTGTCCATAAGATCAATATAGGAGAGCCTTTTTCTTGGGATGATTAAGAACTCCTGAAGTCAAGCCTACCCAGCTCTATGGCCTTTAAGTTATGGTGGTTTTGTCACATCAGCTCACAGTCCCCTCATTCATAAAACAGGAAGAACAGTATACCTCATAAACATGAGAAGAAAATTACCAAAAGCACACACGCCCCAAGAATAGCTATTAAGTTTTACATTACTCCTTTGATTCCATGATACATCTCCACCCTCATTTCATACCTATGAAACCAAGATGTAGTTTACAATCAAGTGTACTACTATTTAATATCTGTCCCTCCCCAGAGCTGTTACTGAAGCAAAGATAAGGCTTTAACCATTGGGACCAAGAAAATAAGGAGATCAAAAACACTCCATCTAAGATACAATGGCATTTCCTCTAATCAAACTGTCCAAAGGATTTAAAAAGCAGTTGGCTCAAGCAAAAAGCAAACTGAGACTTGAGCCACTTGCATGGGGCTATCACGGTCACATTGGGAACGAGCTCTCTCAGGAAGCTGGGCAGTGTGCACCAAGAGCCTCCAACCCTTGCTATCCTGAACAGGCATCAGTCCTAAAGTAGCAGTCACCAAATCTGAACTACTCCATTTCATCATAATTTATAACAGGCAAAAACTAGAAACTAAAGAGGTTTGTGATCAGAGAAAAATAAACCAAATTAAAGTAACTGAAACAATAACATTTTTTGAATCCATTAAAAAAATATTTCAAAGGAAACTTGCAGAAAAGGAAAAAGCTTATCATCAATTAAAACACAAACAAAAACTGATACCACCAACTAAAAAGAATTTATATACAGATCCAAAAACAAAACAAAAAAAAACTGGGAAGAAATCTCATCAAAATGATCACTACCTTAGTAATGAGGCTTTTATTAATTTCTCTTTATTTTTATAATCTTGGCAGTAAACTGTTTTTCTTTCTCTTTTTTATTAACATATATGAACTATCAAAGGGTTTTCATTGTAATATTTTGATATATGCATATAATGTACTTTGATTGAATTCATGTAGTAAACTTCTGGCACATCCAGAATATGACCCTTATTTTCAAAATATTCTTTCTGCTGATGACATAAAAATCTGACTAATGTAAATAGCTTAAAATTGAGTACAATTATAATCTTAGAAATAAAAACTGAAAGAAAGAATACTTTTTTACTTTGAGATTGAAGAGTCACATTATTTATTCATACTTTTTTGTAGGACCAGGGTTTTGAACTCAGGGCTTCACTCTTGCAAAGCAGGTTGTCTACTGCTTGAGCCACGCCTCCAATGCATTTTGTTCTGGTTACTTTGGAGATGGGGGTCCCATGAACTATTTGCCTGGGTTGTGCTCACACCTCGATCCTCCTAATCTCAGCCTCCCAAGTAGCTAGATCGCAGGTGTGAGCCACTGGCTCACATTTTTATCCATTCTTAAAAAATGTTCATGTGGTGACTTGATGTTGGCAACTTAACAGGCACCACAAGCTGCAGAGAGCACGATGCGTCATCATATGCACAGCCAGGGAGTCAATGGAGACGCACAAGATAACTCAGGCTACAGCAGCCACTTTTCTAGCTGGACTTCAACGTCATCTTTAAGATGGAAAGCAATGCGACTAGCAGGATCATCTTTTAATCTCCTATGACTATTCATGTTCTAATGAGCAAAGAAGCTGCTGAGCTTCACAGGGACTGAGAATTTTGACTTACTAGTTAATAAGCCAAAACCTAAGAAAACAAAAGAAAAAGACACACGCTACCAAGCTCAATGACTTTAGGATCCCATTTCCGAGTGAAGAGTGAAACCCCAAAGGACAGAGCTAGTAGCGACCTGAGAGGGTGCAGACTGAAATGCATTCACCGCCAGTCGGTACTGCTTCAGCAAAGGGACTGTCGTCGGCTCAGTCATAAAGGCTTTAGTATAATGAATGATAGATTTTATTGAGGAGAGTAAAAGGGAAGACATTTCATCACGCTTAAAAAGTTGATAACTGTAACCTTAAAAATATAGTTTACAACCTCAAGTTAATATATACTGTCTACACATTACTGGATGTGTTTAAGGATTTTGTGCAGGAAAATAGGATTTATATGAATAAATCTGCTCTGCAGAAAGCTTTCATACTCAATTTTTGAAACGGGGTTGGGGAACTAGCAAATACATAATGTCATATACCATTATAAACCTAAAACCCAATCATAATCAATATTTTTGCTGACATATTTGAATTTTCAAACTTTCTAGGAGGTAACTAAATGAAAAATATAAAACTTGGCCAAAGTTATAACGCTTATAAATACCCGTTTCTGCTCTACACTGATGATGCTAATCCCACATGATCTGCAGTCTTTGTGCAGAAAGGAACTCTACTGTGGCCCACAATTCTTGGATTTGAAACCCTGAGGAAGAGTCTGATGTACACTGTCATTTAACACAGGACCAAGTTAGTTCATTGTATTATGTACGCTGAAATATGGAAAGGAGTAGGGTTCCATGGTGTTTATAAGTCTTATGTTATGGAATAGGAGAAATAAAAATTTAATATTAGATGTTCTCAGTTTTTTACTATTGCAAGAATAGGATGGAACCTCAAAACCTGTTAACAGAACCCACACTCTGGGTGTCACAAAATAATTTCCCTTTCCAGAAGAATTTGAAAATGTGTTTCAAGAGCATTAGCTATTCAGGTCAACATTAGGAATATCATTCTTGATATCAACCGCTGGAGGGAAAAATCAGATAAACAATCAAATGGCATGTCACAGGGAGCCAAATGGTTGTAGTGGGATGAACGCTGTGCCCCCCTGGCACTTGTGAAGGTGACCTTATTTGGGAAAAGTGTGATTGCAGACTTCTGCAGACATAATTAAGGATCTACAGATAAGATCAGCCTGCATTACAGTGGGCCCTAAATCCAGTGACAAGTGTCCTTAGACAAAAAGGAAAGGCATGAGAAGATGAATCACAAAAACTACAAAATAGAAGGCAGAGATAGAAGCAGTAATAGCTAAGAATTTCCCACAACTAAGGAAAGGAATAAATATGACATTTCAACACATAAGACATTCTTAGGGGGCAAGGAATGTGGATCAGTGGTAGAGCACTTGCCCAAAACATAATACATTTTTTTAACTTCTATCTGATTTTCTAAATCAATACTTTAGTTTGTTTGTTCTTATTTCTGTGGTGCTGGGGATTGAACTCAGTGCTTCATGCTTGCTAGACAAGTGCTCCACCACTTTGGGCCACAACCCGAGTTCTTTTGCTTTTAGTTTGTATTTCAGATAGGGTCTCATGCTTTTTCCTCAGGTCAGCCTAGGATCACAATCTTCCTACCTCTGCCTTCCGAATAGCTGGGACTTGAGAGAACACTATGGCACCTGGCTTGTTGGTTGAGATGAGCTCTTTCTGAGAGGCTGAGTTCAGAGTCCAACAATATTAGGTGAACAGTAAGTGATCCACAGCGATGAAGGCACACTATTCAGACCTTTCGTGAAAGGTTGTGCTGCAGGACAGCGGTTAACTGACAGCCCCCAGCTGAAGACACCGGAGGGATCTACACCATTTTCAATTTCGAAGCAGAAGCCATGCACTCTGAAAGCTGTGTCTGGCCAGTGGCAAGAGCTCCCTCCATGTCCACAGGGCACAACTCCCCAGGGCAACCTCAGCTGTGGGCACCCAGCTTCATGTTGGGCTGGCCCAAGCCTTGCTCGTGGCCAAGTGGGTGTCTGGGACCTCTCCTACCCTCGTCCTTCCTCTCCTCTCCTTTCACAGATGC